GAAAAAGCTCTTATTATTTGTCCTTGTGATATAACACATCATAAAATCTAAAAATCAGTGGGACATTGGTGGCTCACACTTGTAATCCTAGCTACTCGGGAGACTGAGATCTGAGAATTGTGGTTTGAAGCCAGCCAGGGTAGGAAAGTCCATGTCAATTAACCACCAAAAAAACGGAAGTGGCCATGTGGCTTAAGTGGTAGAATGAAAAACCTGAGGAATAGAACCCAGGTCCTGAGTTCAAGCCCCAATACTGGTACACACACACACACACACAAAATTAAATCACATTTAAGGCTAAAAGAGTTTATGAACACCAAAATATAAGGAATAGTAACAGGAAATGGTGTTTTCTAATTCATCCTCTCTTAGTTTCTTCTTTTGGAAATGTCAAACATCATTGTCATATTACTTAATTAACATTTCCTTATGTAAATTTTGTATTTGTTCAATGAATCAAACCTAAGATAATAACAAGATTCACTTTGCCTGTGTCCATACCACTGACAGTCCATTGGCTAAGGCAAAACTTCCATTTATATTTGTCTTCATACCCTATGTCCTTATTTAAACAAAGGATTAATGGCATCAAGTCTAAACCATTACCTCCATATCTTAGGCCCTTCATCAACAATTTCAATTATTTTCTTAAAAAAAGTGCAGGCAATGATATTAAATTTGTCTTTGAGTCATTGGTAACTTTTATGACAAGAAAATTGCTTTAAATTAGAAAATGCATGCAAATTAATATATAAATATTCCATAGTGTCCTTTCAGACAGATGAACAGAAAAACTTGCTCTGAATGAATGTGACTAGACACAGAAAAGTTGTGTGAATGCTCTTAACTATATAGTAGCATATATGATTCAAGAAGAATTTTTAGAAGATTGAGATCTGAGACTAGAGGTTCAAAGATAGTGGGGGCAGACAAATCCATGAGACTATTATCTATCTCCAGTTAACTAGCAAAAACCCAGAAGTGGAACTGTGGCTCAAGTGGTAGAGTGCCAACCATGAGCTGAAAAAGCCAAGGAGGTGTGTAAAGCCCTGAGTTCAAGCACCAATAGTGGCAGAAAATAATGAAAAAAAGTTGATGATTATATCCAAGAACCAATAAATTAACAGAAAAATGCGTTTATTTAAGCATTGGTCTATATTTTCAAAATAGATTTAGAAGTAATCTTTGATAACTGAATGATTGTCCTCAGGGGTGTAATCCATTGTTAAGGCTTCAGACATACCCTCATAAGGAAAGTCAAGACTTTATTCAAGTTATACTTAACTGACAAAATTTACAATGATTTACTCTTCTCCCTACCTATTACATTCAACCGTGCCAAAATATTGCAAAATTTGCATTGTATGAGCAATTAACTAGCTTTACAAATCTTTCTTTTTGCTTTACAAATCTTATAAGCAACTAATTAGCTTTACAAATCTTAACAGTTCTAAATTACCTATCTTTATATACTCTTGTCAGCTTGCCCTCAAGCTACCTAGTTGTAGTTTCTCTTACATGTTTCCATGTTATTAGCACTGTCAGACTTATGGGTGAATGTATTCACAGGGTAGAGGATGTGTTTGATGCTCCAGTGGAACATAATAATTGTACATATTCATGTGGTACATTGTGTTATTCCAATATATTTTATGCATTATCATATTGTGGAATCAGAATATCTATAATCTCAAACACTTATTTCTTTGTATTGGGAATATTCAAAATTCTTTATGCTATTTTGAAATACACAGTAAAATGTTATTAACTCGTGAACTTATTGTTCTATAGAACAAAGTAATCCTCTTATCAAACTATGTATTTTTGAAAGTCATTGTGAAACCTTTCTTTATTCTTTCTTCTACCTTTCTTTACCCTTGTTAATCACTATTCTACCCTCTACTTTTGTTAGACCAATTCTTTAGCTTCCCTATATGAATGGGGACATGTGGTGTTTGTCTTTTTGTGTCTGGTTTATTTCACTAGCATGTATGTTGTTCTTCATTTTCTTCCATATTGCCACAAATGATGATATTTCATCATGGTTTTGTGGTTGGCTGTATTCCACTGTATGTATACAATATTTGTAATTCATCCATCTGTTAATGGGCACCTATATTGATTCTATCTTGCTTTTGTGAATAGTGCTATAATAAATATGTGAGTCCAGATGTCAGGAAGAGAAAGAAAAAGTTCTTGTGGGAGATTCTGAGTCACTAGGACTGCAGTCTTCCAGAGGCTTATGTAAGAGTACTTTTTTCATTGAGGAGGATTTCTTTGGATTAGAACATGGCAGCTGAAAGCACTTATTTATTCATTCAACAAACATTTATTGAGTCTTGACTCTGCATTAAATGTACTTGAGATACAAGATAAAAAGTCCTTGAAGAAATTCAGTGCCTAGTGTGATATACAGGAAGTAAACTATGCTTTTGGATTCTAAAATGTTAGCTAATAATGTAAACATCAGAACAATTTTAGAGAAGAAAAGGTATTAAAAATTCTTTTGTCTCCTGAGGATATAGAGTTGTAGGCAAGAATTCTTTAAAGGATGAAGCCAAGGAGACTGAGGAATTGTTTGCTCTATGCACTGCGTGTGGTCTTCTTTTGTCAACCAACTGCTCTTGTAAGCAAAAAGAACATGCATATATATATATATATATTTATATATATACACATACATACATATATATGTATATATGTGTCTGGGGGATTGCTCTGAGGGACATTGTTTGTGAGGCAGAATAGCATGATATTTATATATACTCACCTTCTGATTTTGAGTATGCTTATGCAAGTCATGTGTATGTGAATATATATGCATCACTATGCTTCTAAAGAGTTTGGAAATAACTTCTCATACATACAGCCTTCTCTTTTCTTTCCCTTTTTCTTTCTTTTTCTTTTTTTTCTTTATGCCAGTACTGGAGTTTGAATTCAGGGCCTCATGCTCTCATTTGCCTTTGTCACTCAAGGATGGCACTCCACCATTTGAGCCACAATTCCACTTCTACCTTTTTTCTGCTTCATGAAGTAAGAATGTCATAGGGTTTCTTATCAGGGATGGCTTTGAACCTGGATCCTCAGATCTCCTGAGTAGCTAGGATTACAGGTATGGACCACCAATGCCCAAGTTTTTTTTAAAAAAAACTTAAATATTTTTGTGATAGAATATTGAAAGATTATCGTATCTCCAAAGTGTTTAGAGTGGGAAACATGGAGAATTGGAGAATCTTCACAAATTTTGCCCTTCCAGCTATTTAATAATTAGAAGACCATGTTCTTCTGTCTGTGATTTGGAAAGGAAGGATATGTGGAGGCAATCAGTGTCTTGCAGCTCTTTCTTGATTTTTTTTTCTGGGTGAATAGATTTCCTTTTTACTTGTGATAATATAAGGGCTTCTCTTTTCACCAGTGAAAGAATGACAGCAATACTCGTCTGCATTTTATTTCCATTTACAAATATTCTTAATTTATCAAACAGCCCTGTAAGCAGAATTCAATGACATTAAAGGCATTTTTTTGTATTTTTCAGATTTCCCCTATAAATATATAGTACTTTCACAACCAGAAAAAAATCACTATACAAGCATGCACATACACACACACACACACACACACGGACAGAGACAGTGAGAGACTGTTTTTCTCCTTTATTTATAAAATTAGGATCAGTTTTGTTAAGCATGTTCTAATTTCATATTCACACCTTATGCTATTAAATATTTTTTAGAGATATGGTCTACACTTGGTTAATAAAGCCACACATAAAGGTAAAAGTTTTAATTATTATTTTGTCAGAGATAGGATAAATAATGGAACATAAAAGGAATATTATAAAGATATGGAAACACTAAATGTGATGTTTTCAGAGCATTGATTAAGCACAGAAAATGCTGAAGATATACATGAAAAAGTAATCCCTGAAAGCATGGCATATTCTTTCCAATTTGTAAGATATAGTACAATCATTTAATGAGATAAATCAGCCTGTAACATTTTAGTGTATGTCCAGAAGGTAAGAATAAAGTTAGTTTTATGTTTTATTTTTGTGAATTTGGAATATGCTTACAATATCAGTATATTTCCTTTACATTAGGAAAAAAATTACCAGAAATCATTAGGGAGAAAATAGAGTTTTTCGATCAAGATGGTGGACTATGCATAAGCTTTTTCTTCTCTGAAAGAAAATAATTTGTACATCCCCCCTTCTCTCTCTCTTTCTTTGAATCTTTTCTACTCTCTTTGAATTCTTTTTGAAAGCTTGTGAAGAATTCCTGAAAGATAGAAAGCAGATGGAACTGCTGTCGATGAGGCTGTAGGGCAGCAGGCAGGCAGAGATCGAGAGGAAGGCAGCCTGGTCGACTGGCTAGGGTTTGAAAGAAGCAGTCTCTGAGAAACTAAATAAAAGAGAGTGTCTGTGTCCCTGCAGCGGCCCGCCGAGCGGAAGGCGAGATGGTAGAGGCGGGGCCGAGGTGCAGGCGGGCTCTGAGGAGGCGGGTTCCCAAAGCTGCAAAAACCGCGGTTCCCCAGATGGGCCAAACAGGCTAGCACTGCGAAGGCCAGGCCGCGCTGACTGCTGAGAGACGTGCCGCTGCCGGCACCTCTTTGCTTTTGTAGTGAAGTTGCTTATCTCCTGCTTCTCTTCCCAGTGGACTCCTTCTCTGTTGCCGGGTCGCTGCCGCCACCACATCGACAACAGCTAAGTGGCCGATTTGGAATTGGGAGTCGGGGAAAGGCGCCAGGCGCGGACCGCGAGCCCGCCATCTCTCTGCAGCTATCCTTGCTGCCGTCTCCCCTCCCGGGTGGACACTATCGAGAGGCTAAAAGCTGCCCCAGTGCGTAGCAAGCGCATTTCTGTCAAGAGACTGAGAGTGGAATAGGGAAGACCGATCCGGTCCCCGAAACCGCGAACGAAAAAGATTCCATATTCGAAAGTGTTGACTTTTTGTCAGCTTCACCAAACAAGCGGCAGTTTTGCCTAAACCTTCTGACAAGCCATGTCTCCTCCGACTGTGCCTCCAACCGGTGTGGATGGTGTGTCTGCATACCTGATGAAGAAAAGGCACACTCACAGAAAGCAGCGGCGCAAGCCCACTTTCCTCACTCGTAGGAACATCGTGGGCTGTCGCATTCAACACGGCTGGAAAGAAGGCAATGAGCCAGTGGAGCAGTGGAAGGGCACTGTGCTGGAGCAGGTTTCCGTGAAGCCCACTCTGTACATTATTAAATACGATGGCAAAGACAGTGTGTATGGACTGGAACTGCATCGTGACAAGAGAGTTTTAGCGCTTGAAATTCTCCCTGAGAGAGTGCCATCTCCTCGCATAGATTCGCGCCTAGCTGATTCCCTGATTGGGAAGGCAGTGGAGCATGTGTTTGAAGGCGAGCACGGTACGAAAGATGAATGGAAGGGCATGGTACTAGCGCGAGCCCCAGTGATGGATACTTGGTTTTACATCACCTACGAGAAAGATCCGGTTCTTTATATGTACACCCTGCTGGATGACTACAAAGACGGAGACCTGCGCATCATTCCAGACTCCAACTACTACTTCCCTACAGCAGAACAGGAACCAGGAGAAGTGGTCGACAGTCTCGTGGGCAAGCAGGTTGAACACGCCAAAGATGATGGATCCAAGAGAACTGGCATTTTCATCCACCAAGTAGTGGCCAAACCGTCTGTCTACTTCATCAAGTTTGATGATGATATTCACATTTACGTTTATGGTTTGGTGAAAACCCCGTAAGTTCATTATGCTCTTTGCAAATAAAGTTGGGAAACAATTAGATATAAAATATTTTGTGTTTGAATTGTGAATCTTGAGAATAATTTTGTGTCTCAAAATTTATGCATGTGAGTAAATCTTACTCCAAATCTTCACGGACTATGTCCGCAATTTGGTCTCAAATATACAATTGGTACTTTTGATATTGCTTTGTTCTGTAATTGGAAATTTAAATTAGATGCTAATAGAAAATTTAAAAGTTCACAACCAAAGTAACAACGCAAAACTAGAATAATTCCAGAACATGTCCTCCTCCATTTTTTGTCTTCTCCCTTCTTCCCAGGTTTGAGAACATAATGTATGTCTCTGCATGTTTTCTCTGTCCTCATATTCAAATTTTTTGTACTTTCTGTAACATTGACAAGTCAGATGACATCTTTTCTGATCAGTAGCCATAGTTGATCACGTTTTCTCTTTCCATCACTCTCACTCACATTCTTCCTGTAACAGCTGCAACACAGTACATGTAGACTTGCCAAAAAGTATTTGAACATTCTTCTATGGATTGTAATGTATTTCCTTTTTATTTTCTAACTGTGACATTGCTGAAAATATATGTGCTTCTATTTCTCCTGATTGTATTCGTGAAAATGCTAAGTCAGTATGTGTTTGAATTTTCAGGAATATTACAAGTTGCTAGCATCCTGTTCAGCATTTTTAATGCTTGAAAACGTGAAAGACAAACAATTACACAGTTTCACTTATAACTTTGTCATTTACCTGGCTTCAATGAACATTTCTTTCTTGTATTTGGACTCTTCAGTGCTTTGCCAATTCCTATTCGTTTAGCTAATTTTTCTTATAAATTTGTAGAAAATTTTACTATAAAGTTTATTTAATCCTTGTAGCTCATGTGGTAAAATTTTCCATTTTATCATTAATTTTGACTTTATTGATGATATATTTCCCTTTATAATTAAAAAATTAGGTAGATCACTAATTCTTATATTCCATTAGCTTTCATATCTATTTCAGATGGATGCTCTATCAGCCTTTTACACCATTATTAAACTGAATTTTTCTTAATAATATTTTTTAGTACTTTCAAAGTTTAAGTGTTCAATCATTTAAGGCACCAATCCCTATGAAACTTATTTTGTACATAATGAAACATAGAAATTCAACTCTATATTCTATATACATTGGCTAGCCAATTGTATGATTTTATTCCCTTTTTTCAATTATATTTTTATTATCTTTAAGTAGTTGTACAAAGGCGTTAACATTCAACAAATGATTTTATTAATAAAAGGCATCTTGATTGGTGTCACCCCTTCCATCATTTTCCTCATCCCTCCCAACCCAACTTCTCCCCCCCCTATTTTCTTAATTTTGTAAGATATGCATTAAATATAATGATTGCATTTTATCCCCCTTTCCGTTCTTCATTCCTTTACCCCTCCCCTCTACCTCCCCCTATACCTTTCAAATACCAGTTTTCTGGTATTAATTTTATTGGACTGTGAGTTCATTTTTCTAAGGAACTTATGTTTTAATATTTTTAATCACCCAATTTCAAATTTCTGAGCCAATATTATACACTTTTAAGTATTGTAAATGACCATAAAATTTAGAGTTTAGTAAAGCAAATCTGTTTTAGTTTTTTCATATAATTTGTGATCTATGTTCTTTTAATGAAATTGAGAGCATTTTTTTAACATTTAAAAGGAGTCTAACACCGTAATTAGAATTACGTTAAAACTTAACCTTCCTCTTTAGAGGATTACTTAGTAACATTAAGTTTTAGCACTTACCAAATACTCCTTAATACTCGAGAGTTTTGGTACATCACTGAAAGCTTTCAGTCTTTTTTTGATATTTTTCCTATAGATTTTCATATGTAATCAAATTTATTTTTAAATATTATAACTGTTTTTGTATCTTGACATCTATCATTTGGATGGTTTTTTCTTTTCATATGTAAATTGTTATTTTTGGCAATGAAGGCAATCTATAGATTTTATATTTTTATCTCTTACCTAATGTGTTTATTTAATCTTCCAAATTACAGTGAGTTTAAAAACAGAATATTTTGGACTTTCTAGATACACAGTCAATTAACATGTAAATAAAGTCACTGTTTTTTCTAATGTTTATACTGATTATTATTACATAAAAATAGCTGGATTTTGCCAGAACAACATTATATAATGAAGCTGGCATACTTGCTTGCCCTATTTTTTAATTTTCATGGACATGACTTTTAGTATTTCATATGCATCATATTTGCTGTTATTCATATTTGTTAATACATTTAGGAGTTTCTTATATTCCTGTTTTACAGTGTTATTACTAGAATTGGCTCCTGTATTTTTATCAAATATCTTTTCAGTGTGTACTGTTAACATTTTATGTTGTTTCTCCTTTAATTTGTTGATGCAATGAATTAGAATATTACCTATTTGATATTTCACACATTTCTGCAGTAAATCTGCAGGGAAATCTTTTGCTACATTGTTGGATTTCATTTACTTACATTTCATTTAGGATTGTTTTATTTGCATTCCCAGGTAAAATTGTGTTTTTTGGTATGCTGTCTTAATTGAGTATTGTTATTAAAGTTGTGCTAGCTTCAAAATATATATGATTTGGTAAGGTTTCATTTTTTTCACTGTTCTGAAGTGTTTCAAATAGCATTAGAATTGTTATTAAAAATAGCTAGTACTAAATTGTCAAGCAGTAATTCCACTAATTCAGGTGATGTGTGAGTGTGTGTGTGTGTGTGTGTGTGTGTGTGTGTGTTTTATAGGGCTTGAACTCAGTGCCTCATCCTCTTATTTGTCTTTGTGATTCATAGCTGGTATTCTACCACTTGAGCATTTTTGCTACTTAATTGGAGATGGAATCTTGTGGACTTTTCTGCCTGGGTTGGCCTTAAACCCTGATCTTCAGATCTCAGCTTCCTAAATAGCTAGAATTAGGAGCGACTAGCTTTTAGTGACACTTTTTTTCTCCCCTCCCCGAACAGGTGACACTTTGATTTTGGATTTTAATCATTTTTCTGATTTATTTTTCAGTGGAACTTGATTAATTCAAGCTTTTTGTTTAAAGAAACAATATGTATTCTGTATCAAATATAAACTTCAAATTTGTCTCTATCATCTAGCTTATTAATTGTATTATTCAGATGTTTTATATCCATGTGTATTTTATACAAATGAGAACTGACGATTTCTGAAAATTCTTTAATAAAATTATTACCTATAATGTTTTAAAGTTCCTTTGTATGTATTAAAAATTAGACCAAAATATACATTATAAGTGATATGCCATCTATTTACCACCACACCAAACTGACAAATGTCACTTGTATAGAGATAAAACCTATCATGCATTTAGTATATGAAATCTTGCCCATGTTCAGTACATAAAACTATAACTAATAGTAGTATCAATTTCTGTGTTTTAAAAAAGTTTCCACATGACTTATTATTTTTTATGTGTTTATTTTGGTAGTTTTTTTTTCTTTTATTGAGACAAGTCTCTCATTACATAGTTCTTACTGGATATAGAATGTACTATGTAATCCAGCTTAGGCTCAAACTTGTGATCCTCCTTCCTCAGCTTTTCTAGCAAATCAACTTCAAAACATGTGGAATTTATTTTAGTTTTTGTTGTATGTATATTTTTCAGCTGGAAAAATTGATTCAATCATAACAATAGCATTAATTTTTATTAATTTTTAGTACTATAATGATGTTGTACAAGGGGGTTGCTGTTTCGTGAGGTAATGAGCAATGTTACTCCTTCCTTCACAGTCTCCCAGTTTTTTCCTCCTGTCACCACCCACAAGTTGTATAGTTCATTTTCAACATAGTGTCAGGTGAGTATCATTGCTGAATTTATGCACCCTTTGCTCCTCCATTACTGTGCCTCCCACCCAGCAGTAGTTTTTAAATAGTAATTGCTATTCATTTCTGATACTCCTGGCACTTTGGCTCTGCTCAACCGTAGCCTTGGGGACTGAATGAGAAAAGAATCTCAATTCATATAAAATTTGCATTTTGGCTACAAGGAGGCATATATGCATACCCACCTTCCTCCAAAGTCTAAACAGGACATAAACCTTATACTTGTATACTAGAATTGTTACACTTTCTGACACCCAGGGGATGTCAGTCTAAATCTAAATTCCTAGATCTGTTTCAAAAAGTTGAGAGATAGTAGTGTACAAAAAATTTCTGCCTTAGGCAACAACTCTTATCTCCATCACCTATCTATGCTATCCCATTAGTCTCCAAATCATGAACTACATGTTAAATCATTTCCCTGGCCTAGGGCCTGGAGATCCTGCTTCCTTAGTTCATACATCCTAAGGAATGAAGGAAGACAGCAATCATCACTCTTATGGCTTTGGTCCATTGACTTTATATTGTGTCATAGTGATTTGGGGATATACCAAAACCAAAAGCTATTCTTTTGTTTCGTTTTGTTTTGTTTTCTGGCAGTGGGGCTTAAACTCTGGGCATTATAGTTTTGCACGGTTATTTTGCTCAAAGTAGCATTCTAGCACTCGAGCCATAATTCCAGTTCTGTTTTTTTTCCCTGTTTAATTGGAAATAGCATTGTCATGGACATTTCTGCCCAAGTTGGCTTCAAATCATGATCTTCAGATCTCAAGCTTCTGAGCAGAATTACAGGGGTGAGCCACCAGAGCCCAGCTAGAGCAAGTTTTAAGTCTGGTTCTAACTCTGGTTTAGTGATCAAGGATATAATAGTGTGCTAATGGGAAGAATATACAAAAATGTAGACTATTGTGTTCACAAGCTAGGCCTTTATTTGAAACTTTCTTGGCTCATGGACTAGAACCAAATTTCATATTATTCCATTTTAATATAATGTATACATATATGTATATATATATAACCATATATTCACACACACACATACACACATCTCACCAACTTCCCTTGCATAAGAGGGAAGTTCAATTTTTAATAGGCATCAAATCAAACTGTCAA